ACGTATCATCTCGTAACGTCAGTATCCGCGCGTTTAGAGCCTATAATCCCGGAGCTATACAGTGCATAAGACGGAACACCACCTAATCTCGCGTCCGAACATCGCGCCGAGCACGACCGGAGGACGCTAAATCGAGATCTAAATTGGAGATCAGCCCGTCCGACCTCGTCGAGATCGACGATGGTGGACGGTCAGTCCTTAACCGAGGCGCGAATGTAGGTGAACGCGGGATGAACTAACGGGATCCAGCGAATAAAAGAAACGGAGAAAAATGAAGAAATAACGCACACGGTGGAAAAGTCAACAGTTTCCCGATGTTAATCGAGTTTATCTCTCTTCTTCTCCTTTCTCTTCTCCTTCCTCCTCTCTCTCTTGCTTTCCCCCGGCCTCTCTATCTTTCTGTCGCGAGCACGCGGCACGATAATCAACGTGATTTTTAAAAATTATGTAAATTGTAGATTTATACGGGATTTACGGCGCACTATATCGAGTGATGTGACTCGTCCGTGGAATTACTTTATTTGGCAAAATAACTTCAGTGCTCGCGCTAAAAAGTACAATGTTCCTCCATTATCGTTCCTCTCCATCGATAATTAGAGAATCTGAAATTTTACAAGTTCGCGCGCGACGAAAGTAATCGCGATCAAGGGGCAAACTTCGTGCATAAAACTTTTTGCGCACCGACGTCGCGCGTGGCGCAAGGCGAAATTTCACGGACTGATACGAGCGCGATACAACGACGGAATTTACGAGGGCGGGCGCAAGCACGGGCGCATAAGAAACAGATTAACGTTCTCGTGGATTAAGAGTCGTTACCGAGACCAGTGCCTGAAAGCGAGCTTATGACAGCGCGTTTACGTCGAGGGTTTTCCCTCCGTGGAGAAACGCAGAAGTGCGCGGGAGTTACATGCGCGCATACGCCCTGAAGTAAACGTTTCTACGGACATGAAAGTGTAAACAGAAGTAAAAACACGCGGAGTCGAGTGGCTGGAAATGGAAATTCTAATTACGAAAACGGCCGTGTCAGCTGGGGAACGTAACGAAGCCGACCCACCCCGACAATGAAAGGTCAGCACACACAGCGAGGCTTATCCAGGCTACCTACATCAGGATCAGAAAGTGTGAAGGATATTTCAACTCTTAAATGCAGGATTTTTTTGACTTAACGCAAATGTGTGTTCCAGACATCGTTTTATTCTTTTTCTTTTTTTTTCTAGAAGAAGAATGACAATTTTGTATATTTAACTTAACACGTACATTATTAAATGATTAATTTATTTTCAAACTGAGATAACTTAGTCATTAATTAGGACATTCACATCAATAAAGGCTTATGCAATATCTTTGCTTCATCAAATTTTACAGAATCATTAATTTCAGAAGCGAAAATACATTTTTTGCGAATATGAAAAATCAATATAAAATATGTAATAACGTAAAAATCTCAGAATATGTTACGAAAAAAATTAAAATAAAAAGAGATGCGTATTTTTCGTTATATTTGCGAGTTTTTATCACAATTTTGACGCTCCCTGTGGAAGTATAAAGTTAACAGGCTGACGAAACGTTACTCACTATAGAGTAATATTCCGACACGCATCCGTCGAATGCAAATTCCTCCGAGTTGATGGCATAATGATACTCGTGAAATCGATCGCGTTGTAACGGGCTCTTAAATATCTAATTACAGGAATGGGTGCTTTGACTAGTAGATAAAGCCGGTAGTGCGAGGCCGAGTAGATAGCAGGGATAGCCGCGAGTAGACATGTTAAGCCAAACGCATATAGGACAGTCTTGCATTATTAAAATCCCCGATGCATGATTGAAGCGCGTGGATCCGTCCATAATTACATTTTATGCACGATTACAAAATATTCCTGGATTTTCATGGTAAAAGTGGAGTTAAAGTATTTACAATAATCGTGAAATAAAGATTCGTTTGTATCCAACTGTCTATATGTCTTATACGTATGTACATTTATATAAATGGTTTAGTATAACATAATTAATTTTTACATGTAAATGTTAAATTACATTTAACATGTAAATTGCCTCACTCGCATGAAACAAAATGGAAAATTAAAATTTCCGCAAGAAATAACTTTACGATTTAAAAACGAATTGTTCTCGTTAATTTTGCGCATTGGATTTTATTCTTTGCGGCATATATTTTTCAAATTAAATCTAGATAATATATTTATAATTGAGGATTCTCTCTCTCTCTCTCTCTCTCTCTCTCTCTCTCTCTCTCTCTCTCTCTCTTGCATTGGCGTCTATACTTTTATTCAGTAAAAGCATTTGCAATTCTATGCAGCAGTATGGAAAAATAACGAAAACTACGAAAAGTAGATTATTGTCGGTATTCACTTTCCTCTTAAGCGACTGCATCAGAAGGTAAACGTCTTCGAAATACAACACGTCTTATGCCGCGTTGTAGTGAAGCCTGCTATCACTTTGCTGTTAGATTCAAATTTCGTGTATATATTAAAATTAAACTATTGGTTTCGTTCATTATGAACGAATTGAAGCTGAGTCATCCAAAACTAATATCTAATATTTAATAAAAATGGCACATATTGCAATATGAATAATATATGTCAGATAATTTTGGTTATTCTCGAGACGGCATTTAGCTCCGCGCCGATCGTCCTGCGATTCGAAATCATGGCAACATATTCACGTTTATCTTACGATTGGAAATCCCGTTAGCGTGTCGTCTCAGGAGATGACCCGCGAACATCCTCGAACTGCACAATCTCGATTTTCGTCCCTATAGGCGCACAATGTTATAAATTTAGACGCGGTTGACACAAACGTCGATGGGCTGGACATATTGCAATATCCGAATGAATCGTCGGACAACTTCGGTTACTCTCGGCGGTATTCGCTTCCGCCGCGGCTAGACACATTTTAAAATGGCACGGCACACTCGTCGCAGCGTATCACTTCGTGATACTTGGGTACTTTTGTCGACGCGCGGAAAATATCACAGATCCAAAAACCGTGCGGACGAGCCGACGATCATCGCTGACGAGCACTCAACTGCGAACGATCCGAGGGTCTACCTTGTCGTTTAATGCCAGTTCTTGCGGCGCTAGCCTCCGCAAATAGTTGCGACGCGAATGTTTACGCCAAACAGCCCGGATATGACGCCATCTAACTTATTATTTATCAAACGCACAGTCCACATATATATATTCTTGTATTTCAACGAAACAATCGCGAACGAGTAATTTTCATCACCGACGAGCGCCGTAATAAATGAGATAATGAGAGTTGACGGGCGCGACAACAGTTATATTGCGATCCGAGCACTGCTGGCAATTCCAGCGATTCCGGTATGCTTGATACGAAGCGGAGAATATCTGGAATTCGTCAAACGCGGTATTTTCATAGTCGGAATGCCCGAGATCGATCGGTGACGTTTAAAGGACAGCTGCTGTCCGTCGCGTAAAATTCACGCTGCGTTTGAGTAATTCTACAATTAAGTAAACGCAGGGCTTCCAAATAATTTGCGTTCCGCGATCGTCTCTCGAGTCTGGCTCACAGCCGTAACAAACGCAATTCTTTATCTCTTTCTTTCACCCTCTCTCTCTCTCTCTCTCTCTCTCTCTGTCTCTCTGTCTCTTTCGGGATTGTACGACAAGTACGTCGTGGACATAAATCGCGACTCGCCGATCGTAATTTCCCGTTTAACAAGGGGGGCAATCAAGCCGCGCCATCGACAGGCGCTCCAAAGAATGCGTGCGGAATTCAACCTGTTGAAGTAATCCGTTTCCTACGAGTGGCCCGTCGAATCGACGACATTCGGATTTCAATCCGACCGACGCGACAAGGCCGAGGGCTGCCTGAGAGGGTAGGTACAGGAGCATCCTCCTCGAGTGGCGGCACGCAGAGATTGAATTTTCGGTTTTGCCGCGCCGCGAATTTTCCCCCTCGAGTCGCGCCTTCGCGAATTTTCCCCCTCGATTTGCGCGATCCCGATCGTCCGAGTGACCCTCGACCAAACCGTCCCGTCGGTGGCCCCTCCGTTCGTCGCGGTGCATTTAAATCGACTGCTTAAGTCGACTATACACTAATCTCGTAATTCATTTACATATTTAACGCGCGCGTCGTCGGCAAAGTTCCCCGACCGTAGGTCGGAGAGGGCGGACGGCGAAGGGAGTAATTAGTTATGCATGTGTACTTGTCGGACCCCATCTCGGTCAATCCTTAACTTCTTTAATTTAATAACGCGCCGGCCGGAGCAAGAATCACCGCTTTTCGCAAGCAAGCGAGCGACGCGCGCGCGCAGACTGAATCAAGTTCAGCGCCTTCCGTTTTGTATCGGTTTCACGTCGCCGCAATTTCGCGGGCGTTGCGAGACCGCACGAGAATTGTGCGTTCGTCATTAGTTTCGCGGAATGATCGAGAACTTAATCCATAGGCAAATATGAAGCCACTCCTGTTAGTCCTTGTGCAACTTTGATAACTCAGTCGCGCCAAGAAGTTGAGTCGGTCGTTACCTGACTGAACCGTATCGATTATATCGTTCGACGTTCTTGTTTCGCGACGATGAAATACGGTCGGATGGTTTCTCGAGTAGCGGACTGGGACGTTTCACTCGCCCGCGATGTAGGACGATGGAAATACAAAATCGCCGTCGGTTTCCGGCGAGTCGAATGGCAAAGCTATGGCGCATATATAGGTGTGCGCACATATATTTCGTATTGGACAGCGTCAGGAAATTAAGCGAGGCGGTCTCAAGGGCGACGTTCGGACCTCAAACTTCGGCCGGGGAACTTTTCTCGGCATTGTGCCTGGATTTATCTCTTCCCGAAGTGTCGAACTGCTTTGGAGAGAAGAGCCGCGGTACCCAGAAATATATTATTGCAGGCCGTGACTGGCGTACAAACACTCGACTGCTTGGCCATTGAGACAAAGGTGGGCATGAAATGGGAAATTATCGCAAACAATCGATGGATAATTATGTGATAACTGGACAATAATTCAAGTCACGATTTGCTTTTATATTCTGATCAATTGTTCTTTATATTTGAGCTAAGATAGAAAGATATAAATCTCTTGTCGTAACATTTGAGAAGTCAAATTTTTATAATCAGCAAATTTCTCTTGCGAAAGAACATCGGAGAAGTCGTGTGTGATAAATCGATGGGTTTATTTAACTCGAAAGAAAAGACAGATTTTTCGACGTCCTAACCGGTGAGATGGGAATCTAAATTATTCACACATTTAATCCCTGCTTCTTCGCCTCGTCCTGATACTTAACAGTATATTGACCAGAGGGATCGTACTTCTTCTTGAGTTGGTCCCAGGTTTCCGGTTTCTGAAATAAAATAAAAGATCGGATAAACAATCGTCCCTTTGTCTTCACAGAGGAAAATTTAAAAATTTAAAAATTTTTTATTTAAAAAATTGTTCACGTAACTATTAAACTCGCTTAAAGGGATTTTTTCTCTCAAAATGTTCTTTCACTTCTTTCGTCTTAACTATAATATTTATAGCGAGTAACATGATAAAACAAAACTTCGTCGGCAATGTTCGTGCGATAATGACTATACAAAATATCGTTAACCTAATAATCATGGTAGAAGAGAGAAGCAAAACTTTGCACTCAAAATCTATAACTTGAAATGCCGAACTCGCGATGCTCTCAATGTGTCAGGAATTGTAAAGTACAGCAGATCCAAGACAGCCGATACTCTCTTTGTACGATCACACTGTCTGCTCGTCTGGGGTTTCAAAGGACACGAATCGAAGGGGCGGAATGTACATCACCGTTAAATTATTTGGCTGCAAAAGTTTCCCGGGCGCAACGGACATCTCCCGCCGCCCGCGACAACGAAAGGCAAAGAGAGAGGGTTAAACCGTCTCTGTGTGAAAGTCAAACTAGTTCCCCACGGCATTTAAACTGGCTCGACGTATCCCCCGAGCGTTCTCCTCCCTCCGACATCAACTCATTACGTGGCCGCGCGTTTAATTAGCCCGGTGAAAAGTGACAGGAGTATACCTTGTTGACTAAAAACCGGATAACCTTCTCGCTGCCCCTTCTTTGCTTTTCGCTGCACTTGCTGCACTCGCTCGACAGCGCGTCCGGAAGGTGCTCTGGAATACACACACACACACAGAAAATCATAATTATGGAAAAATTTAGATCAAGGACGCGGTCTCCGCGTAGAGAGTGTAACGGACTGCATCTGAAAAATGCAATCCGGTTGCAGTTACACGCAAATACTGAAAAATAATTAAATATCTAACATTGGTTTTTTATAACTATAATTACATAGTGAAAGCATTATTTTCAGGAGAATCATTTTTATACTAAATATTACTACCCGAGAAAAATTTCCGGGAAAAACTAATCGCCAGTAACTAGCTAGTTTTTATTTGTTTAGATTTATTAGACAGTAACTGTTAAAAAAATAACTAGAAACTGGACAATAAGAAGTGGTAAGAAAATGCTGGCTAGTTATAATTTTTTCGCTGCATCTGAAGAATGCGATCCAATTGCAGTTACACGCAAACACTGAAAAATAATTAAATATCTAACATTGGTTTTTTATAACTTTAATTATAATTACATAGTGAGAGCATTATTTTCAGGAGAACCATTTTTGTACTAAATATTACTACCCGAGAAAAATTCCCGGGAAAAACTAATCGCCAGTAACTAGCTAGTTTTTATTTGTTTAGATTTACTTAGATAGTAACTGTTAAAAAAATAAATAGAAACTAGACAATAAGAAGTGGTAAGAAAATGCTGGCTAGTTATAATTTTTTTGCTCAACAATGTAAATACAATATAACACATGTTATATGTAACATTAATGAATGAGTTACACTGTTGAGAACGAGAAATTATAATTAGTGCCAAGAATAGCTATAATTTTAATAATATTAAATATTTTAATAATATTTTAATATTAAATATTTTAATAATATTTTAATATTAAATATTGTAATAATATTAAATATCAGTGCAATGCGCTTCAAGATCGTAAAGAATGTCGGTTTGCCCTCAGATTGTACAACAAAATTCGAATGTCGATTCCTCTGTCCTTTCTGAGCCAAGACGTAGATTCGATTCTGATCTCTCATCGTTAAATATCCTGACGATGAAGTTAGACGCTCGCAAGGATCGTTTCTATCACAACGGAGTTCCTCGTAAGAGCTGAGTTCATAATAATGTATGTTATTTCTCGAATATACGATGTCCTGCAGGATTCGCTCCAAATTTTTTGCCGTCCCACGTCATTTGCACCAGCTGCCCTGGTCAGCTGGCCGTACACCCGCGCATATCGCTCGTGAATTTTCTGAGACAAGGACTATATATCCTCGGTAACGTATTACCGTCCATCGCACGTTTTATCTAGCGATGGGATAGCGTGTGGATGAAAAAAGAAACTCATGCGGGAGGGGACGATAAACGCGGTTTCATACGCGAGGAATAAATGAGAGGGACGAACAATCGATACACAATTTGCAGAATACATATATACTTAACGGAGATGAGATATGATACCCCACAAATTTGCCGGACTTCCAAGCTTCTCGATTATTAACGCTTCTCCGAAACTTCTTGCTTCATTTTTTTTTCTTTTTTGTGTGCAAAGAATATTAAGGCTCCTCTATATATATAAGTCTCTACAATAGTCGCAATGTCAGTCGCAACCAACGCTCATCGCAGCAATGATCGCGAACGCGTTGTACGAACTTGTTTGGAGTTGCAGTAACCAATCTCAGAAGCGTCAGTATAAAGCTGAGCCACTGATTGGCTGTTACAACTCCAGACAAGTTCACGTCACGAGTTTGCGAATATTGTCACGATGAACGTGGCAATCGACATTGCGAACATCGTAGAAGAGCCTTTACGCTCGAGGCTGTTGCGCGAATGAAATTTCGCACGTTAAAAAATTGACGTTCGTTGCTCACGCTTCTAACCGCGAGCATGAATATCGTGGCACGCGCAAATGTCTCACCAAAGTGTGGGAATGGGAATGGTACTTTTTGCCCAAAATCTACCTGTCGACGAGCGCTTGTGGCAGTATTATTCATATCTGCAGCCGGAGTGATACGCGAGCGGCTCCTATACATATGTACCGTCGTTAACGAGACGACCTCACATCGCGCATCCTTCGACGGGATGAAACGAGGTGGCCATTAGTGCCAAGGCTGATTTCCCGCGCGCGTTGGAAAGCACGAGAAAGATCGTCATTACCATCTCATTTCGTCGTGTATGTTTTACGACATTATCACATCACGCGTACTACACGGAACGCGAGGATTTGCTCCTTGCACATTACCATATTCTCATTACTATATCGCATTACAAGAAGTGCGTTTCGTTGAGGTAACAAACAAAGCGACATTAATATCCTGACTTGAACGTAAAGGGTCACAGCGGGAAAGTTAGGAGGAAAATTAGGAAAAAGCTAGAAGACTTTTTTCTTCAGTTCGATCTAACGTACAATCACATGACAGCAAATATCGTCACTATAGCCCATCTATCATATCTCGCGTAATCATTCACAAATCTTCTTTAATTAATATCTCGACAATTATCGCGAGCATCACGAAACGATATAGGACTTTTATGTTCACCTCAATCTTTACTATGCGAGAGTTTTGGAAGTTGTTTTGGCACACCCTGTATATAATAGAATGTGTATCTTGTATGATCCCTATTAACTTCTAAACCCTCTGATTGAACCAAATTTTGCAAAGTTATTCTCTAAGATCCTGCGGAGAATACAGATTACTATGAAACGTGAATATCTTATCCTCTTTATACTTTATAGTAACTCAGGCAACACCAAGTAGTTTAAATTAGCACTTAATAAAATGTCGAAGAACTCACCTTTGAGCTCTTTGCCATCGGGCGTGCAACTTCCTTTCTCCAGCAAGCAGTTGACGTAGTTTTTGAGCAAACGATCGCTCGCCAAAATCGAGTCTAAATCGACATTGTCGTACTTAGTCGTGTACTGATCTTCTGCCAAAACGTAGGCAACTACGAGGAGGAACAAAGCGACGACCTGCATCAAAAGTCGAAAAGTCTTTTTAATTTTAAAGGATACATGTAAAACTTTTACATTAGATTTCAGATATGTTTAGTCATTCTCTAAATCAAAAATTACAACAAAAGTGTTCAACCAGGTGCGTCCATTTCTACGTAGTTATATCGCGACTGTTGATTATTTGAAGAGATGACAACGATGAATATAAAACGCTTACACTGTAGATTGAATTAAAACGGATATTCATAGAATATCCGAATACTTTAACTTTGTGCAAGGATTTGCAATTTTCTACATAGACAGACAGTGTAAATTACTAACAAGTAACACTACCCAAGTGCCACACGCCGATCTTCTTAAAACTCTGCAGTACATCGAAAAACATTAAACGCGTATTTTTTTATTTTGGCATTTTAAGGTTAGAAAACGCATTCGAAAATTTAACGTTCTATAGCACAATAATAACTAACGCTACTCCTGAGCGTCATTCTTTTACAGCCTTTACGACATTACTCTATTATAATTTCATTGAATGTTTCTGAAGTCGCTAATTATGATTTTGACATTAGTTTTGCGAGATTCAAAATGGCGGACCGAAATTGCAGACATTTCAAGGACTTTATTCAAAATCAGTTTCGAAGAAGTTTTTTAGATCCATGATTACGATTACAAACTAATGTCAAAATCATAATTAGAAACATCCAGACAATGAAATTATAATAGAGTGATGTCGTAAAAGAATGACGCTCAGGAATAGCGTTAGTTATCATTGTGCTATAGAGTGTTAAATTTTCGAATGCGTTTTCTAACCTTGCCTTATTAGCCAAAATAAAAAAATACGTGTCTAATGTTTTTTGATGTACTACATGTGTGCAAAGTTTCAAGAAGATCGGCGTGTGGCACTTGGGTAGTGTTACTTGTAAGTTGCATTAAATCGGTGCCCAACATCCTCTTAAGTTCTATTATTTACATTTATCCACGCGCTCTCGGCATAAAATCAACCCGAAATCTCCAGCAAGTATCCACGCCGTACAAACCGGACGAACTCTGGCTACGGATAACGCGCTCGGGGGAAGTTTAGGGTTAAACGTGAATCCGAAAGACTCATTCAAACACCGCGGTCATAAATATGTCGACCGACAGTGAACAAAGTGTCGCAATGCAACGGCCTCGCTTTCCTATGTTAAATGTCGGCCGTGCACGCGTGCGTGCGTGCGTGGCTAAATGTTTGCAGCCAAGCCGGTTGACAATCGCGAGCGCACGCCCTACCAAAACGTAGAATCGCACGGACGTATTCAACGCGTGATGCGAGCGCTAACGAACGCGCGTTACTCTATGTTATATACGCGGACGCGTTGTGCGCTTCAGTTTCCACAATTCTATGGATATTCTCCCCTAGGCCCGGTGAAAATGGGTAACGCGGTAGAGGGTCCCCGCAGACTCGTGGAACAGAGAAACCGACCATCGACACACGTGCGCGCCGCGCGAGTCTCATTAGCAGGTAAAGTCGAGAGCGGACAGCCAATGGAACGTAGAGCGGAGGTACCGTTTAGAAATCGATTTCATTACACAGAGAGTGCTAAACGCTTTCTCAAACGTGGCTGCACACGGAGCTGAGAGGCTCACTCGTGCGTTATAGGATATTAAAGCTACGTTTCTACGATATAAGGCGGTTGAAATATGCAGCGCGACTCGACGTGACGTGTCTCGTCGGGTCGTTTTCGAGGTAACGGTAAACAATTTTTCAAAACTTCATTGACTTTAAGGTAGTACTGGCGGTTTATGATCTATCGTTCGGAATTTAATAAAATTTGGTACACTAGTAGATATTTATGCAAAAAAGATTAGTATAAATTTTTGTAGAGCTACGGAGAGCCAATAAAAAGATATTGGCATTTACAATTTGGTGCGTTTAACATTGAGTCTTATAGGAAGCCACCGATTATCTCCAATATTTCAGAAAATACCGTTCAGAAATGTGGCAACGTCACTAACAAGACAGAATACGCGCGATATTCAAAAACAAATGGAATCTGAGAAGGTAGGTTTCATAACAATGTCACAAAAAAATATGAAAAATGTTTTATTCATGCATACAAAACAATTTATAATAATAAAAAATTTAATTTATTATAATTATAAACAATAAAATTGTAACTTAACGATATTTTCAATATGTTCTATATATTAACTACTCTAAGAATAAATTATTAATTTATTTTATAGACTCTTTGTTGGCAAAAAACGAGCAATTTTATATATTACTTTTTTACTTTTAGTAACTTTAACAATACCATTTTCATCTTTGCCCAAAACATTTAATAAACCATCAAATTTATTTTGTTTGTATGCTTCTTCTATTTTGTTAAGCATTTAACATTTTCTTATAAATAAAGCTATGTTCTTTTCATTTTTTATTAAAATCTGAACGGTATTTTCTGAAATATTGGAGATAATCAGTGGCTTCCTATAAGACTCAATGTTAAACGCACCAAATTGTAAATGTCAATATCTTTTTATTGGCTCTCCGTAGCTCTACAAAAATTTATACTAATCTTTTTTGCATAAATATTTACTAGTGTACCAAATTTTATTAAATTCCGAACGGTAGATCATAAACCGCCAATACTACCTTAAAAAGAAACATGGTGCACATACTTTTGACATCTAAAGGCCAAGTTTCACATACTTTTGACATCTAAAGGCCAAGTTTCACAACATACGTTTAATTTTATAATTAATTTTAACTACCGTTTAAGTCCCAATAGTGATTGGTTAATTCTGATTAACTCTTCTAAATGTCAAATGGGATCGGTTAAGTCTAATGGAATAACTAGTTAAGTTAACTGGAGGTTGTGGAACTGGGCCTTAATCTGGCATACGGAGGTTATTTTCGTCCTCACTTATTTATCCCTTCATATACAATCATATTTCTTGGAATATATTATACAATTTGAATTTATTAGGTCTCGATAAGTAACCTAACTTTGAAGTAGAATAACTTTGTTGTGTTTCAATATTTTAAATTTGTTTCAATATTTTCAATTTGTGGCAAATTCAAAATTAAAAATCGATTGAGGTCGAAGTTTATAGTTGAAATAACCAATTCGCGTCTACTTGTTCCCGATGTTTTCTGGAAACTGATATCATATTTAAATTATATTGCTAAGACGTGAGATTTATGTACGAATGTTACAAACAGAGAAAGCCAGAAAGTGGAACAATCAATGCCATGCTGTGAAAGAAGAAAAGGATATCACGCGCGTCAGATATAGGACACTTGTCCCTTTAGCTCCGACTCATAAAATGACATTGATTGTTCTAGTTTCGAGATATTGATTTAACTGTTATGTTTTACACGAGGAAACTCGGAAAACTGGCCTTGAACTACGGAGAACCCAGACATGTTTATACAGAGAAAAACAAAAAGTTTAGTCTACAAATTCGTGTGCATTTAATCTTTGACAATCTCGCGTATGAACATTTCCGTTTTGCAATTCGCTCACTGATTAAAATTCAAATGCGCTCGCGCGTAATAGGAATTATGCCTTTATGTGATTTTCAGATACACAAGAGAGGTTTAGAGATATAAATATAGATATCAAAGTTTTCAACTTTCGTCAAAATTATTCGTGTGAATCTTTCTTCTCTTTAAAACTTTATGGAACTTTTGATCCCTTCGAAATCAATTCGACAGAAGCAGAAACCATGACAGCTTCGACTAGCGGTTTCACACGCAGAGCGAGGGGAAACCCTTATCCCCTACCCTCCACCCCCCAAGGCCACGGCCAGATGGTTGTGCTAGTACATAACGGGTTAATGTCGGAGAGTTAGTTAGGATGTTAATTAGTATAGAATAGACCTGCTGTGTAGCACGCGATACCGACTATACTTTAGTGAAAGATGGGGTGCACAAAGGGCAGCGAAATGAAATGACGTTACTCTAAATGGGTTCTCCTAAAGATATTTAACCCTTTCGGTGATGAGAACGGTAATGCTGTTCAACATATGGAACCACGTCAATGCGTCAGTCCACTCGCGGATTTGAAATTGCGTGTTAATAATCGTAGAACGTAGACAAGATTTAGTTTAATCGACACAATGAAACTTTATCTACTCAACAATGAAACCTTATTTACTCAGATAAGGTATTTCGCCCGGCAAGGTGGAACAAAGAAACCGGTTGCCCTACATGACAACATAAGAAAAGGAGAATTACGCGGCAACTTATCAGCACCTTCGTGAGCGCCATTACGCAACCGCCTGCATTACGCGCGGGTAACACTTCCTAACGCCTTTCACTCTCATGAAATTTCACTTGGCGTCAAGCGGAGATCGACACGGGCTGTTCCCGATGTCACGGACTCGTGCGCGCGCGTTTAGTGCCAGGTTAACAGTGGATTTTTTCAACGATGTACGAGCACACGACAGACGTTGAATCGCCGTAAGAGACCCTTAAACGGTCCCCAAGGTCGTTAACGACGCGAAACAGCCCCTAGATGCACCGAAGAACTCGCGCTGCATTATTCACTTTCAGTCTCTCAGGATCGGATTTTTTCGCCGAATAGAAAGCGGCAATTAACGTTAACACTCGAGGGAGAGAGAGAACGTGAATAAAATATTCGAAGACCGAGAATTACACCGAGAAGGCGAACAACTTGAAATTAACCCTTGTGAGATGTTTTCGACACATTAATAGTGGATAAAAGGACCATTCGACGCATTCTTTTGCCCACTTCAAATCGTTGACAAATTCTGAAAAAAATTATACAGCCTCTTTAAAGGCTCAACTATACTAAATTACGAAATATTTAACAAAATAAAGTATATGATTTTTTATTGTTTTTAGAATCTACGAAAAAACTATTTCGTTTAAAAAATCGTATCTTCAAGAAATATTTTTCAATTAATAATTAATAATTTAATTAATAATTCAATTAATAATTTTTTTGAAAGAAAAATATTTAAAATTTTATATTTAAAACCGTAATAACTAATTTTAAAAATAATTTATTATTGTATCTTGAAAAAATCACGAATTACTTCAATACGTGATATACGATGTATTTTTTTGTAAGAAGATAAAGCTAAATAATAAAATTAAAAAAAAACATTTTTACACATCATACTAAAATAAAAAAGAAAGTAAAATACACAATAAACACAAGAAATAAAAAAGAAACTTTGTTAACCGTTCCCATGTTTGTCCAGTTTAATAATCTCGTCAGAATTAAAAAAAACTATAATATTATTTAGATGCATTAAAATAACTTTAAAAATTATTGAAATATATAATATATAAAAAAACAGCTTTTCACTTACCTACATAAAATATACGTCTTTTTTTTTAGAATACATAAGAAGCCTTAGAAATTTCGAGGTGAAGAGGAAGACAAAGATATTGAAAGTAGCCGAATACGATGATCCTCTTATTCACTTTAAGGGTTAAAATATTCATAGTCTAGAAGCAAGACACGAGGATGCCACATAATCATCGTACATGGGAACCATTCGCAATCTCCACTCCGTTTTTTCACAATTCACGTGTCCAATTCGTACACTTCTCTTCCACTACTCCCGTCGATCTTTTCGGGAAAATCGACCAGATGAAATTACACTCACAATTAAACACATATCAGAGAGAATCGCTTGAATTCACAAGAAGTCGGCAAGAAGAGACAATCAAACGAACGCAAAAAGGTAGACACGAGAGACAAAGACGTTATAAGAAAAAGAAAAAAAAGGGATTAAGGAAAGATTACGAGGGATAATACGAAGGAGGACGAATGCAGAGATGAGAAAAAGCAAGAGGAAATGGTAAAAAAAGGCATAGGAGATAAAGGTGAGCGGTGACGGAGAGAAGTACGCTTACCTTCATATTCGAGCGGAGTTAGACTACTGATGCTGGTGACAGCGTCGACCAAGTATTTTATACTCGATCCCCGTTTGCTCGGGCCTCCGAATTCGTCGAATCGGTCTTACTGCGTCTTACAGTCCCTCCCCTTCTCGTCGGTTTTGTGTCCTCGCGATTCTGCTAGGAGGATGAATAGCGCGAAAACAGCGTGCGTCATTGGCACGTGAATCTTGGAAGTCATCTCACATGATCGCGAATCACTCGCCCAGTCGCGCGCAAATATTGTCGCTCCACAGGAGTGTTTTTTAAATCGGTTTAGCGGTCTGTCTGTAGCTTTCCGCGAGCGCTCAATTATGAGTCTGTGAATGATTCCATGAATTGAATTTCTCGATTTACAAGAATTCGAGAAGAAACGATTTCCATCTCTCTCTTTTCCCTTCTCCTCCCTCTCGCCCTCTCCCTCCCTCTTTCTCCCCCGCTTTCTCTCTCTCTCTCTCTCTCTCTCTCTCTCTCTCTCT